TCAGAACTGCATGGCTAGATACAGTGCAGCCTGTCTTTTGGATGCCTTTGCTACCACTATTGTGAAATTAATTTTTTGGTCAGGTGATGCACATCTGTTTTTCCTTTCTTTTTTCCTTCTTTCTTTCTTTTTAAAATTTATTTAACCTTTTAAATTTTATTTTACATTCCAGCCACAGTTGCCTCAATGTTCATGAGGGAGATTGGTCTGGAGTTCTCTTTCTTTGTTGCATCTTTGTGTGGTTTGAGTATCAGGGTTACTGTAGCCTCATAAAAGGAGTTTGGCAATGTTCCTTTTGTTTTATTGTGTGGAAAAATTTGAGGAGTATTGGAGTTGGCTCTTCTTTGAAATTCTGGTAGAATTCTGTGCTGAAGGCATCTGGTCCTGGGAGACTTTTTTAATGACTGCTTCTATTTCTTTAAGGGTTATAGATCTATTTAAATTGTCTATCTGGTCTTGATTTAATTTTGGTATGTGGTACCTATCCAGAAAACTGTCTATCTCCTTTAAAATTTCCAGTTTTATGGAATACAGGTTTTTGGAGTATGACCAGAAGATTCTCCAGATTTCCTCAGTGTCTGTTGTTATGACCCCCTTTTTCGTTTCTGATTTTGTTAGTTTAGATATTCTCTCTCTGCCATCTGGTTAATTTGAATAAGGGTTTATCTATCTTGTTAATTTTCTCAAAGAATCATCTCTTTGTTTCATTGATTCTTTATCTTGTTTTCTTTGTTTCTATTTGGTTATTTCCTATCATCTACTCCTCCTGGGTGAGTTTGCTTCTTTTTGTTCTAGAGCTTTCAGGTGTTTTTTTAATTTGTTAGCGTGGGATTTTTCCAACTTCGGTGTTTAGTGCTATGAACTTTCCTCTTAGCATTGTTTTCATAGTGTTCCATAAGTTTGGGAATATTGTACATTCATTTTCATGGAAGTCTAGGAAATCTTTAATTTCTTTCTTCCTTTTCCCAGGGGTGATTTTTCCATTTCCAGAATTCCTTCAGTTTGTATTTTCTTTATTGCCTCTCTTTCAATATTCAAGTCTTGGAGTTGTTTGATTGGCTTTTCTTGGTGTTCTTGACTTTCTTTAGGGGATTTATTGTTTGCCTTTTCCTCCATTTCTTTAAGGGAATTCTTCATTTCTTCTTTAAGGGCCTCTATCATCTTCATAAAACTATTTTTGAGGTCATTTTCTTCTGCTTCTTCTGCACTGAGATACTCAGGTCTTCCTGTTGTAGGACCACTAGGTTCTGGTGTTGCCATATCGCTCTTTAGGTTGCTGAACGTATTCTTGAATTGGCGTCCACCCATCTCTTCTTCCCGTTGATGCAGGCAGTGTCCTTGCTTCTTGATCTGATCCTTGCAGACAGTGTTTTGCCTCAGAGATCCTCAGTTGGACTGATTGGTGTGGTTTCTGTGTCTCAGGGAGCCACTCTTGGTCAGCTCTCTTAGTCCTCTCTGTGCAGTCAATGTCTGTGTCTCAGGGAGCCGCTGAGGTCACAGGGGATGGGTGGGTATGTGGGCTGAATGGGACTTGTAGGTCCAGTGCCGGGGAGCCTTTCCTGCTAACCCACTAGTGCTGCTGAGATGGATCCGGGAGGGGCTTTTGTTTGAGACAGAGTCTCTCTAGTCTATGTAGCCCTGGCTATCCTGAAACCTGCTCTATAGACCAGGCTAGGCTTGAATTCACAGAGATCCACCTGCCTCTGCTTCTGAATTGCTGGGATATAAGATGTGGTCCTCCACACCCAGTTTTGTTTTGTTTTTTGTTTTGTTTTGGAGACGGGGTTTCAGGTACCCAAGGCTGGCCTTGAGCTCCATGTGTAAATTAGAATTACCTTGAATGTATAATCCTCCCAAGTGCTAGGATTACAGGCTTGCAGCATCACACCTGGTCCATGCCAGGTCTATGCCAGGGCTTTAGACATGCTGACCAAGGACTCTGCCAACCAGCTGCTTTCCATTCCCTTATATCACAAATATTTTTCATATTTATACCATTTTTATAAATCTAATTCAGAGGTTGTATTTTTTGGGGGGGCTTTACGAGACAGGGTTTCTCTGTATTGTTTTGGAGGCTGTCGGTCCAGCCTGGCCTCGAACTCACAGAGATCCGCCTGCCTCTGCCTCCCGAGTGCTGGGATTAAAGGCGTGAGCCACCACCGCCCGGCAGAGGTTGTATTTTTTAAAGATTTCTTTCTTTTATGTATATGAGTGCTCTATCGACTTTATGCCAGAAGAGGGCATCTGTTCCCACTATAGATGGTTGTGAGCCACCATGTGATTGCTGGGAATTGAACACAGGTCCTCTAGAAGAGCAACCAGTGCTCTTAACTGCTGAGCCATTTCTCCAGTCCCCCAGAGGTTGTATTTAAAACAAAATAATTTTTTTGTTTTGTTTGCATCAGGGAAGGTCTCACTATGAAGCCCTGCCCCTGCCCCCCCTGCCCCCCCCACCCCGCCACAAAAACAATCCTTGTTTTGTTTGTTTCCATTATTCTTCTGCCTCAGTCTCCTGACTGCTAGAAATACATACAGGTTTAGTTTTGCAGATGTAACATCTTTAGTCAAAATCTGTTTTTATAGCCTGGGATACAAAGTGAGTTCAAGGTAGTTTGGGCTGTGCAACATAACCTTTTCTCAAGAAAAAAAAAAAACCAATTCCCCAAGGCCAGTCCCGTGGTCACCCTCTGACCCACTTCCCTGTAGCCTTGCTTAACAGCATTCTTCCAGGCTCTGCTAACCTGTGAGTGACAACCCAGGTCTCTTTGCCATGGCTCTGATTTGCATTCATTTAATTGTTAATTAAGGTGAACACTTCCCAGCACATGTGTTAGCCAAATTAGTTTCCTCTTTGTCACCCTGTCTATATCATTTACCCATTTTACCTTTAGGATTCAGTGGGTTTTGTTTGTTTTGTTTTGTTTTCTGACTAATTTCTTGAGCACTTTGAGTAACAATGATGTCATTATCCAACCATATTTCCCCACACTGATTTTTCTTATTGTTTGCCTTTGTATTTGTAACCAGTGTTTGTGGGTTGTTTTTTTTTTTTTTCCCCCGAGACAGGGTTTCTCTGTGGCTTTAGAGGCTGTCCTGGAACTAGCTCTTGTAGGCCAGGCTGGTCTCGAACTCACAGAGATCTGCCTGCCTCTGCTTCCCGAGTGCTGGGATTAAAGGCATGCACCACCACTGCCCGGCAGTGTTTGTGTTTTATTTTGGGATAGCTACTGTGACTTCTAACCTTGGAAGATGCTCTAGAGGACCAGTGAGCTGGTGCTCTCTGCCAAGCTGGTGGCCTGAGTTCTGTCTCTGGAATCCACACGGTGAAAGGAGCAAGTTGATTTCTACAGGCTGCCTCTGGCTGCCTCCCCGCCCTAACACAACACATACACATATACACACACCCCTTCTTGAACACACACTAAAATATTAAGTGTAATGACATAAAAGTCAAAATGCACCAAAGAACTCTTAATGTTAGGAGAGAGTGGACTGGAACACTTCACTTCCTTAGTATGGTGGTCAGTGTGTCTTAGTATGGTGGTCAGTGTGTCTTAGTACGGTGGTCAGTGTGTCTTAGTACGGTGGTCAGTGTGTCTTAGTACGGTGGTCAGTGTGTCTTAGTACGGTGGTCAGTGTGTCTTAGTACGGTGGTCAGTGTGTCTTAGTACGGTGGTCAGTGTGTCTTAGTACGGTGGTCAGTGTGTCTTAGTACGGTGGTCAGTGTGTCTTAGTACGGTGGTCAGTGTGTCTTAGTATGGTGGTCAGTGTGTCTTAGTATGGTGGTCAGTGTGTAGAAGCATCCAGCCTTTTGCTGTTTCCCATCTCACCTGCTATGTACTCTTAGCCTCTGGTCCAGGGTGTCCAGTCCAAGACCGCTTAGGTGCAGCCGGGGGCTGACTCACTAATAATGGGAAGAGCTCAGCTTCCTCTGGACCCACACACAGGCTTCTGTTGTTCTCTGTATGTAAAGTAATTGCTTTTTGAAAAGAGAAGAGAGAAAAAACTAGGAAGGGTCCAAGAGGAAGCCCTTAGCGTCAAAGGATCAGGACTGCCTCACAGAGAGAGAAATGATCGCGGATATCTGTTGCTTTAAAACACTTTACACAATTTATAACCAGAATTTTCCCCTCAAACTTAAGTGCCTCCCCCTGCCATGTCCATGCTGCAGTGTGAGCCCTTTCTTCGCCTCTGCACCCTTATTTCTAAAGCTATTGAGCATCTATGTGCCTCTTATCCAATAGTTTCACGAACAAACGCTGAAAAGAGCAAACAATGGTGACACACATCTTTAATCCTAGCACTGGGGAGGCAGAAGCATGTGGATCCCCATGAGTCTTAGGCTATCCTGGTCTACACAATGAGTTCCAGCCCAGCTTGTCTCAAAAACAAAACGGATAAAATGAAGGAACGAAGGAATGAACAGATGTATGAGTTCAGAGTCCTCTCTAGCATCAGAGGAGCCCTATGCCTGAGAACCCACCCCTGGATTGCAGGGACCTGGTTGTATAGGAGCTGCAGAGAAAGTGGCAGCCTCTGGGGAAACCCTGGATGTTGATGCCAATGCTTCTAGGGAACAGGGGCCCTGGAAAAGCAGACTCTTGTGGAGCAGGGACAGGCAAGGCACAGCGGACAGGGACGGCGCAGGAGTGGTGACGGCCACCAGAGGGCAGCACTGCAAGCAAGCCGGGGAGACGGAGGCTGCAGCACTCTGTGACCCCGCGCTGCCCTGTTGACCGTCCGACCGCCCCTGGCTCACACCAACAGGGTGCTATGCTGCACACCATCCTCACAAGCGGGTAAACTGAGGCAGGGCTTGACACCCGCTGCCTAGCGCCGTTCTCTGGCCTGGCAGGATCTGCTGTGAGACATCCAGGATCTGGTCCTGCACCCAGTCCGTGGCCTGGAGGGAGTGGCCTCCTGAACCTCGAGTCCAGCTAGGTCTGATGTCAGTCTCGTGTCCCAAATAACTTCCTCCCAGGGATACTTCCGCCGCGGCCTCATGTCCCGGAGCCCGGCGGGCGCACCCAGGGCAGGAACCAGACAGCCACCCTGCCAGTCATTGTGCTGCCTTCCCAGAACAGCTTTTGTTACACCCAGAAGGTGCACCTCCAGACTTCTGGGGGGTCCTAAGCCCTGAGCCAATCAGCAGATGGGTGTGTGTGGTCCAGGAGCATGGGCGGGGACCACAGGGACCGGTCGAGGTCCCCTTTCCTTGGTTAAATAAGCAACCTAACCTTGGTTCTTCAATGTCAGTGTTTATACTCACCCATCAGGGTATAAACCCCAACCTTAGGTCACTGATGTCAGATAAAAAGTAGGTGCTCAGCAGGTATCAAATAAACGAAGGAACGAATGAACGAACGAATGAACGAAATGGAAGGCCTCTGGATGGAGTAGACTGCCAGCTTAGGAGGATCCCGCGGTCAGTTGAGGGAGGCAGCCAACAGTGGGGCCTTTGTGGTCAGCTCCTAAAGGGGAGGGATATCTTGCTCCCAGGCTCCGGAACTGCGCAGAGGAAGGGGTCTGGCCCCTGGGGTTCAAGGCCGGGTCATGGAGTTGGTGTTCTGGGCACCTCCTTCCTCCTGAAGAGGCACTGGGCAGGCAGGGTTGACAGGTTGGGTGGCATAGCCGAGCTGACACTCACCTCCAACATAAAACCTCACTTCATGGAGCCTGCACCTCCATAGCACTAGAGAGAGCTCCTGCCACTGCTGACCAGGGCTCAACCACGCATCAAGCCAGAGAACATGAGGCGGCCCCACATCTCTGCCCTGCTGCTGCTGCCACTGCTGCTGAGATCTGGTGAGTTGCAAACAAGAACAGGCAGTCCCTCTGCCACGCCTCTGGAGGGGTCCCTCTGTGCTGCTCTGAGCTCCAACTGAGCCCCCCTCCCCTGTAGCCCCTGGGCCTGCCTGAGCACGAAAGGAATCTTCTCCTTCAGTGACAGGGTTCCTAGAGAATACATATGCTCAGGTTCCAAATATTCCATCTGAGGGACCTGGCTGGGGGCCTGTGGGAAGGTCTGACCGAGCGTATATGTGATCATGGCCCCTCAAGGGCTCTCAAGGAAGCCAAGAGAGTGGCTAGAGCCACACCCCTCTCTTCCTGGGGCTCTCAGTGTGTCATGCTCTGAACTTGGGGCTCCCCTAGACATCTTCCCATTCTACAGATAAAGAGACAAAGCCCCCATGGGACAAAGCCCCCAAGCCTCTAGGATTTGAACCCAAGTCTGCAGGCTTCCATGTCATTGGACTTATGTGAACTGGGAGCGTTCAGAGTCTGGCTGGGGCTCAGCAGGGAGCCAAGGACAAGAGCTGCGGCTGCAGAGGGTCCCAGCCCCTGCCTTCAGAGGCTGAAGCAGCGGCCTGCCCGTCCTGAGCAGGGGTCAGCAGGTTCTCGCCAGGTGCTCCGCCTGGTAGGTCCTTCCCTGTGGGCGGGCTCCTCTCTACCAGGGAAATTCTCCCACATTCCTAGGCCAGATGGGCCAGCCCAGCAGCCACCAGACTTCCCTGTCCTCAGTTCACCTCCCTGGGACAGGCCAAGTTATCTCAGACCAAGTCTCAGCCAGGGCTCAAGGGGTAGGAGGACGTTAGTGGGCATCTCTGTAGGAATGCCCCTACCTTCCCCCAGTCTCATGGAATGTTTCTGTCCATGGTCTCTAGCAGCAAGGACAATAGCATTGAAAGCCCATTTCCACTGGGTGTGACATTGTCGGGGCTTCCGTGGGTGGATCAATCGAGGTCATTGCCAAAGTAGAAACAGCAGTCTGCCTTTGGCTCACAGACAGCTGTAACCTGAGGCTGGAGCCCTGGGTGACTTGCTCACTGCAGCCCAGGGTGACCAGCACCCCAAAAGTCCTCTGGATTTTCTTAAACCTCAGTCACTCCCATGAGTATCAGGGACCTGGAAGGCACAGACTGACACCCTGGCTGTCTGTCTACCACTGACAGGATGTCCTCTACCCCACCACAGTTTCTGCAGGCAGGCTCTGCCTTCACAGCTCTGGGTTCGATCAAATCCCCTGGTGAAGGACAGAGCTCAGAGGAGCGAGGGAGGCTTCCAAGACAGATAACACAAGTGGGGAAAGCTTCCACTGGAGAGTCAGCACCTGAGTGGGCCTCAGCCACACTAGGACTTTTAGACTGGGAGCCTCGGCCTGAAAGGACTAAGCTGTGGCTGAGACCGTGGGTTACAGCCCAGCAGACTGGCAGGAGGGAAAATGCACAGAAGGCTCCTGCAAGCTTCTCCAGGGACGAGGAAGTGGGAGGCTTGCAGTACATTTGTGCCCTTGAGGGCAGAGGGCAGCCAGGCTAGGCACATTGCAAGCTGACTCTTCAGGCCTGGAGATCAGGTCCACCTGAGTTCTAACAAGATGCAGGGAGGGTGTCTCTCTGGCCACATTTGCATTTTATATCTTTTGGTTTTTCAAAACAAGGTTTCTCTGTTTAACCTTGGCTGTCCTGGAACTCTCTCTGTAGACCAGACTGGTCTTGAACTCACAGAGATCCTCCTGCCTCTGCCTCCTGAGTGCTGGTGATTAAAGGCGTGCGCCACCACTGTCTGGCTTCATTTTATTTCTCTCCCTCTCCCTCCCTCTCCCTCCGTCCCTCTGTCTCTCTGTCTCTGTCTCTGTCTCTGTCTCTCTGTGTGTGTGTGTGTGTGTAAATGTAGGCAGTTACTGGTGGAGACCAGAAGAGGTTGTTAGATCCCCTGGGTGCTGTTGGATCCCCTGGGCGCTGGGAACTGAACTGGGATCCTCTATAAAAGCAGCAATGCTCTCATCCAATGAACCATCTCTCCAGCCCTTTGTTTATCTGTTTATATTTTTATTTTACCTGCATGTGCACATAATGCCAGTAGAGGCCAGGAGCGTGTGCTGGATTCATTGGAACTGGAATCACAGACAGCTGTGAGTCACCATGGTGAAGCTGGGAACTGAACCCAGGTCCTCTGCAAGAACACTAAGTGCTCTCAACACTGAGCCATTTAAATTTGAGACAACACAGATAGCTGCAATTGACCAGGTAGTCACTGTGTAGCTCAGTCTGGCCTTAAATTCCATACAGTTCTCCTGCCTCAGCCTTTTGAGGGGCCATGCTGGGGTAACAGCTATGAGACACTACACCCTACGATGCATTTGCAATGTAAAGGGGATCTTGGGGAAACAAGCTTACAAGGCAGAAGTCCAGAGCTCAGCTCCTATTTCCCATGACCCTCACATTTGCTCTTCTCTGTTTGATGTCCTGCTCCAAGAACAATCTGGCCCTGTCCTGGGCAGTAGCTACCTCCCATTCCTCTATGCTCTGGTTACATCTCTGGCACTGTGTTAAAATATCATGACAAAAAACAACTTAGGGGAGAAAGGGTTTCTGTCTCAGGTGATAATCCATCATTTCGGGGCAACAAGAACTTGAAACAGCTGGTCACAGCCAGAGTCAAGTACTGGATGTATGCACACTCACTTCCTTGTGTTTAGCTCAGTTTCTTCACTCTTGTACAGTTCACGACTAACCAACCCCTGCACATAGGGAATGGTGCCACCCACAATGGGTTGGATCTTCCCACATCAGCTTATTAAGACAATCCCCCACCGATACGCCCACCAGCCAACCCAATGTAGACAGTCCTTTACAAGACTCTCTGTTCCCAAGTGATTCTAGTTTGTAACAAACTAATCACACACACAGCACACAGATGCACCCTACACCATTGTCAAGGCCACATTGTCAAACACTGAGAGCACACCCTCCCATCTGGACCCTCAAGTGTTGGGGTGTAGAGAAGATGTGATCATCAGTGTGGAGGGCCTGACTGTGCTGAGACCCCACCCAATTCTGACAGACCTGCCCAAGGGAGCAGTAACTAGGAGAGCACAGATAAAGGTCTGGGGTGCCTGGGCTTGCCCCTGAGTCTGGAATGGAGCTTATGGGGCTTGGGTGAAAGGGTGAGAGGTAAGTAGGTGTGGGTGATGGACCCCATTTCCGGTACCCTGACCCGCCTTGCCCTCTTCCCTACTGTCCCCTCACTTTAATGGTGGTCCAGCAGAGGGTCATAGTTGGCAAGAGGACTCAGTCCTCAGGAATATATAGTCGTGGGAGGTTGGCCCCTGGCCTTGCTAGGCCAACTCTACTCCTTTGAAAGCAGAGAGTGGCATTGGGTGTCTGGACCTCAGTTGGTTTTGGGGAGAAGTTGAAGGAGACTTGCTTGTTCTGGAAGACTGTGAGGAGGCCCTGATGGATAATGTGTGGAAGCGACCCCCAGGGCTTCCTGTCATCCAGAGCTGAGCCATTAGTGTGTGAAGGAAAGGAGGTAGACTCCACGGCTCTGCCCCATTCCATACTGCAAGATGAGAACAGGGGTGCAGGATGGAGAAAGAGACCCCTGTGTGGACAAGCAGAGTGACAACCTGATCTCAGCAGGACAGTCAACCCCTCTGGCCACAGCGCTAGCTCTCCTGGCTGTCCTCCCTGTCCTCAATGGACAGGGACCCTCGCACGAGGCAGAAGCCGAGAGGAACCGGCCTGGGCTTGGCAAAGTGGCCTGATGATCATCTTTTCTCACTTCCAGGGACTGAAGGGGCCAGCGCTCTGAGAGGTGAGTGGGGTCACACACAGAAAGAGAGAGAGGAGAAAGCAGAGAGGGAGGGACAAGGAGAGCCACACGGGGCAGCAGAAAAGCCAGCCAGAAGTGGCCGAGATCTTCCGTATGATCAGCAGAGCAGGACTTGGCGGAAGCACCGGGGATAAGTACCAGGGCAGGGGCACCTTTCCCGCTGTGCCATGACTGCCCCGTGAAAGACAAGACATTCAGCCATTCTTCAGGCACCCGTGTCTAGCTCTGGGATGGGAATTTTCCATGTCATTTCAGCCTTCCTGACCCCAAGTTGGTCTTGACACCTTGTCATAAGACAGAACTAGAAAGGGTTAGCCTATATCAAAAGCCACTACACTTGGGCCTCTGACCTGCCAATGTTCTGAGTAGCTCAGGGGCCAGAAAGGCCTGAAAACTGACAGAAAGTGACAGCTGGCATGTGGGGCTGGGGATGGAGGTGAAACCATGGAGCCATGCCCCTTCTCTGTTCCCCCAGCCTGCGGGCACCCAAGGATGTTCAACCGGATGGTAGGTGGGGAGGACGCCTTAGAAGGTGAATGGCCCTGGCAGGTCAGCATCCAGCGCAACGGGACCCACTTCTGTGGGGGCAGTCTGGTCGCACCAACATGGGTCCTCACTGCCGCTCACTGCTTCTCCAAGTAAGTGATGCTGGCCACTTCCGTTTCTTACCGGTGGCTGGAACAAGACAGAGCCTGTGCACAGCTGCTCGGCACCACAGACACCACTGGCATCAGCCCCCCATCCGTGTCCCATTAACACCCAGTCTTCCAAAATTTTCCCTTAGAAACTGCAGAGAGTCCAGGGGTTAAGAGTACTGGTTGAGCCAGGTGTTGGTGGCGCATGCCTTTAATCCCAGCACTCGGGAGGCAGAGGCAGGTGGATCTCTGTGAGTTCGAGACCAGCCTGGTCTACAGAGCGAGTTCCAGGACAGCCTCCAAAGCCACAGAGAAACCCTGTCTCGAAAAACCAAAAAAAAAAAAAAAAAAAAAAAAAAAAGAGTACTGGTTGTTCTTGCAGAGGACCAAGGTTCAACTCCTCACGCCCACATGGTGGCACACAACCATCTACCCTTCCAACTTCCGAGAGATCCAACACCCTCTTCTGGTTTCAGCAAGCTCCAGGCTTGCACATGGTGCATCTACACACATGCAGGCAAAACATCCATACATATAAACAGAATAATTTAAAACTTTCCTTTAGGTCCAAGCCTGGGTCTTGACGCTCCAACCATTGCTGCAGCTCTTGCTGCACCAGCTGCCCTGCCAGTGACACCTGGGGTCCCGCCCCTAGAAATGCTGCAGGCACCCCTGACACACACCTCCCTCTTCCCGTGTTCCCCCAACTCAAGAGTTCAGAGCTCTCTCTGGTATCAGATAAGCCCGAGCTTTGAAACAGAGTGTCTGTCTTCTTCCATCTAAGATTACCTAAAAGGACTCCCAACTCACACATCCAAGTGAAACACTTAGCCCTAGGATTTCAGGGTCCCCAAACATAGAACCTCTGTTCTCACAGATCTCTGTTCTCACAGATCTCCTCTGTTCTCACAGATCTCCTCTGTTCTCACAGATCTCCAATCCTTTTCCCCTTTTACTTATTGTGTGTTGGGGGGGCATGTGTGCATGTGGAGATCAGAAGACAGCTTTTGGGTGTTCTCCTTTCCCCTTGGGTTTTTAACTTGTAGAAAGCACTTTTAGCTGCTGAGCCATCTTGCCAGCCCCAGAAACTATTTTTTAAAAATCCCACATTTCACTTAGAAACTCAAGCTCGGAGGTGACCTACCTGGGGGTCAGAGGCAGGGCTTGGCCTCACTATACACTGTATGTGTATTACAACAGGCTTTACGATAGTGTTCCCATCTTACAAACGAGGAAACTGAGTCACAGAGAACTTGTTAGGTCACTTACCAAAGGTCCCCTGGTAGCCAGGGAGAGCTGAGAATTGAAAGTGGGTGATCTTCAGTTTGTACAGCCTTTAGCGTGGGAGATGACATTGTTGAGAGTGCAGAGAGGTGTCAGATAGTGTCGTGGACCAGAACAACCTACCCCGTGGGTCCCTTTTTCCTCATGGAGGAAGGTACTCACACCAGCTCTGCTCTTTCCACCAGCACTTCCGACATATCTATATACCAAGTCCTGCTGGGAGCACTGAAGCTGCAGCAGCCAGGGCCACATGCCGTGTACGTCCCCGTGAAGCGGGTGGAATGCAACCCCCAGTACCAAGGCATGGCCTCCAGTGCTGATGTGGCTCTGGTGGAGCTGCGGGTGCCTGTGACCTTCACCAACTACATCCTTCCCGTGTGTCTGCCTGACCCTTCCGTCACCTTTGAGTCGGGCATGAACTGCTGGGTCACTGGCTGGGGCAGCCCTAGTGAACAAGGTGAGGGTACTGAGCTAGGGGAGCAAACGGCACGCGGCTTAAGCAAGGCCAGGGCAGCTTTCCTGTCGATACTGGTATGCCTGATCTCTACTCCCACGGGCGGGGCAGGCGCCGGAGGAGGAACAGCGGTGCATATGGGGGATGGAAGAGGGAGACAAGCAGGCTGGTGCTGGTGGGGGGAAAGGCAGTCCCATGAAGTTCTTAGGAAACCTGGGGAGGGATCGCGCCAACTGTGGCTCTTGAGATCCTGGTAAGACTGTCCACTGAGCTGCAGGCTTGCTTTCCCTCCCCAGACCGACTGCCCAACCCACGGATCCTGCAGAAACTCGCTGTGCCCATCATTGACACGCCCAGGTGCAACCTGCTGTACAGCAGGGATGCGGATTCTGACTTCCAGCTCAAAACCATCAAGGATGACATGCTCTGTGCAGGCTTTGCAGAGGGCAAGAAGGATGCCTGCAAGGTATGGTATATGGCCACGTCTCTACAACAGGGGTTCTCGCCCACCCTAACACTGGGGCCCTTTAATGCAGTTCCTCATGTTGTGCTGACCCCCAACCACAAACTTTTCATTGCTACTTCATAGCTATGATTATGCTACTCTTGTGAACTAAAATGTAAATATCTGATATGCAGGGTGGTCTCAGGCAACCCCTGTGGAATGGTTATTCGACCCTCAAAGTGGTCACCACCCACAGGTTGAGAACCACTGCACTTGAGGGAACTTAGCCCAGGTCAAGGGTGGGCTGTGGTTCCACCAGCAAAAATGAGGTGAGCATGTCTCGGATCTGAAATGAGGCCCCAAAGCTGTGTTTTTCACATATAGCACACTGGGTGCATGCCTCAGACAGGCAAGCTGGGGTACTACAGCACTGTGCGGGGTTGTCTATGAGAGACCAATGGGGAGGCTCTGGGGGCAGCTTTGTGATGAGTCTATGAACACACCCAGGTGGGTTCTGATGGTTCTCTGCTTCCCCACAGGGTGACTCTGGAGGCCCCTTGGTATGCCTTGTGGATCAGTCATGGGTGCAGGCTGGGGTGATCAGCTGGGGAGAGGGTTGTGCCCGCCGGAACCGCCCAGGTGTCTACATCCGTGTCACTTCCCATCACAAATGGATCCATCAGATCATCCCAGAACTGAAATTTCAGGGGAAGGCCAGCAGCCAGCAGCAGCCAAGAGACCCTCGAGGTTGGCAGCCCTTGTTGGAGAACTCTGCCCCCTGCCTGGCGGCCCATGCAGTCATGCTGGTCCTGGTAACACTGTTTACCATCCTCTGAGCCTGCCCAGGCCAGGCAGGTGGAACCCTACCCACTGTACATTTGTAAATAGTTCATTTCCCCTACATGCTAGTTACTTTGATTTATAATCATTTCCAGAAGAAAAGAGCACCATGGCGTATGTGGGGATCTCTGCAGGACTCTGGGGGCTGACAAGCTGAGTTGGGAAGAATTAGAGGGCTTGGCTCCTGGCGAGGAGACCCTTGGAGGCACAGCCACGCCAGGGTGTCCCTGCCCCAGTTTCCCTGTTTCCTCTCGCCACCTTCAGCACGCATGGCTTCCGACTCCTGCCCTGTGGACAGTGGCTGCCCTGGTGTGAGCAGGTCACAAGAGTGCTTTTGCAGCGGCCATGCAGAAGATGGGTGAAGGGACAGACTGGGGCGCAGCCTGCTTTCCCAACCCCGCACTTGTCTAACACCGGCACACAAACCTGAGGGCCACCTAGGACCTGCGTTCTCGTAACACTTGAGGAGTCCCTTCCAGGGGTAACCTACACCTCGTGTTCTTCCCTTATTCCCCGAGACACCTTTTCTACTGACCCATCCCTTAACCTTGAACTTTCCACTTTCTAGTAACCCAGGAGCAGAGAGGAAGGGACAGGACGCACAAACCATGCTCTCACCACACCTGGCTGCACAAGCGTACTCACACGCACACCCGTCCACATGCTCACACAGGCAAGCCTGTGTTGCCTGAGGTGGAGCAGGCACTGTCATGTGATGAATGGGTAACCGTCAGGTGTGAAGATGGGCGCCTTTAGCCCCAGCACTTAGGAGGCAGAGGCAGGGAGATCTCTATGAGTTTGAGGCCAGCCTGGTTAACTTGTGTTCCGGGCCAATCATTGCTACATAGTGAGATCCTGTCTCAGAGAAGAAAATAAAATAAACCCAGAATAGATCACTTAGCACTTGCTATATACCAAACAAGCCCGAGGAGCCTCATGGACTTCACTCCCCGCTCAGCACTCAGTGGCCTCTGCGGATGAGCTGAGTGCCTTCTCGAGAGCACACTGGTGTCCAGTCTGAGAAGGGCTGGTTACTCTAGAGGAAAACTGGAGCCCGGACAAGGGTGCAGGGCAGGTTGTGGGGATGCTGAGGACACCCCAAGGGCAAGATCTGGGCCACCATGGTCGGCACGTGCTGGCCTGAGGCTCACAGGCTCTGAGACTGACCCCAGCATCGTTGTGATTTGCCTGCTTTCCTAGTCTGCTCAGACATGCCATGCTCTAGCTTGTGAGGCAGGGCAGCACTAAGAGACCTCTCAGAGGAGAGACCAGACCCCGCCCCTGACTGTGTTCTCAGGCTAGTCACAGAGCACCTCATGGTCCAGATTACCTGACTGCTGTACAGATGTCTCAACTTGAGCAACAGGACAGCCTCTGTTTGTAACCATGGGTCAGGGGGCCACCAACCTGGCTGCACTGGCTATACAATAGGACACAGGATATACAAGGTTCAGGGTCTGGACAGCAGAGAGATCCCTGATGACTGTGGGAAACAAGCGCTCGGGAACCAGGAAGAGGTTGCTTTCTAGAAGTAAGGACACAGCATTCTGGTCCACTAGGACACACTCAGGAGGGACAGCACTTTTCCACACTTCAAGACAGTAATTTGCTGAACGCATTCATAAATACACAATTTTATTTACTATTTTCAGGGGAAACTTAGGCATTAAACGGTAAGCTGATAAAATACGGATACCTAAAAAAGTATAAAAGTATAAATATCCCCTTAGAATTTTAGTGAATTACGTTTTAATATCATTAAATTAAAAAACAAAAACAAAACCCCCACAAGCCTATCTACTGTCAAGGTCATAAATCAAACAATGCTAAGTGTCCAGCCACTCCCCAGAGTATTTCCCAGAGCCAACAGCAGAGCCACTGACCCCCGGGCTGCTGAAGCCCAGTCAACCCAATAGAAAGGTTTGTATGAATCATTTAAGCCAAACATTTAACAACATACAACAGACCTTAGGAAAGGATGAGGTCAGTCCTAGACGCTGGAGAACTTGATTTATCAGTTATTGGCAGAGGAGAAGGAAAAGGGCCTAGGCAAGAAGTTTCCGGAAGCATCTGAAACAGTGTTAGAGGCTCTGACCTGCACACAGGCAGTCATGGCGGTCAGTTTGCACAGCTCCCTTGGGAAGCCAGGGGTCAAGAAGCACAGAGCTTGCTTGCTTGGGCCAAGTTTGTGGCCTGCTACATCCCCTGACCGGCTGAGAAAGGTCTGTTCCAAAGCCAGCAGGCGCAGCCTCTGCAGGAACCTTAGCAGCTCCAATGTCGTGTCAGGTGAAACAGAGCCCATGCAGGTTGTGCAGTCTCAAACACTCCAGGAATACAAGAGAAGAACTGCATAGTTATACAAGGAAATGAGAGCCAGTGAGGAGGAGACATGTTTGCGCTGTAAACATCCTGAATGTTCAACATGACCTGGAGTGTCAGCTCCAGAAGCCAGGTGGACAGGCCTCCTGCCCCAGCCTCCAGCCCAGGCACAACAAAGGCACTGGTAGGCGCCAGCTCCCCCATGAGCCCGCAGGTGGGGCATATGAGGCAAAACATCTACCTCCCTTAAGTGACTTAACAGATCAATCCAAAATGTAGCAACACTTTTAGGCATTTCTAAAGAGTATAAACACCAGGTGGTCTATCCACACTTTAAAAAAGGGATACAAAGTCCTCTTGCCTGGAAAATACAAATTGAGAAGCCTTGATGATCCTGGGCCAAGCTGACAGGCCATTATAAGAGCCTGGCTCTGAAGGGGTGTAGTCCAGGGGAAGTGCCCAGAAGTAGTGATAATGTGGAGGCTGCCTTTGTTAGGAGCCTCGGCCGAGGTCAAGAGAAATCAACCAAACATGCCTGGAGGCATGGCGGCCTCCCTGACCCCAGGACGAGGGCCTGGTGCTCAACCAGAGATGAGCGGTACCCACGCCCTAAGCCACAGTGCACTGGACAGAGTTGCGCAGCTGCCCCTCCCTCCTGGCAAGGCCCAGGCTGCGTGCTGCAGGCTGTGTGTAGCACCAAGGACCTTGTCCTTCAGATCATCTTCAGGAACGCGTGGGCTGGTCAGCAGCACCCTGCCTCAGTCCCACGGAGCACTCGGAAAGAACAGAGTGAGGCCTCAGAGACTGCCAACCCAGCCCTAGCTGCCTCCCTGTGGAGACGACTGGCTTGACAGCTGGGCTGTCTCTCTCCACCCACATCTGAGGCAAAAAAGGATCCACACCCAGATCTCTAGAGAAATGATCAAAAGCAGGTTTCTTCTCACAGCCATGCTTTCTGCACATGGCGGTTCACTTTATCTTGGGGAAAAGAATATCATTTCTTCAGCTGTCAGTACTCCTCACATCCTTGAGCCCCGTTCTTGCAAAATCTGAAAAATACGGAATATAGAGTGAGGACATAGGCTCTGACCAAGGCCCTGTTCAGAGTGCAGAGCTCAAAGGAATGCTTAACTTCAGGCCTCAGCTAGCTATCAGGAGACTGCACCGAGGGTGGCTGACATGAGACTCCAGATCAACCTCCACACCCCATCCATTAATGAGAAGATCTGCACCTCCTGACTGGTCACTCCTAAAACCTCCCAAGCAAGGTCACGCTGTGGACCCCCGTCCTACTCAGTCTGCTCACTCACCGGCAGCATCTGCTGCCTCCTCACCCTTTGCTCCCTCTCTGGCAGAAAAACAGGGCGCTCACTCACTTAACTAGTTAGTTCACTGCGGTCAGCTGTCTACACAGTTGGGATGGAAGATCCTGGAGGCCTTCAAAACATTCTGGGCCTGGGACAGGGTATATATGACTCCAGCAGAAGGCTTCAGAGCTGAGGAAAGCTCACAGGGAGCCATTTGGCATGGGCTGTCACGGTGAGCAGCCCTACTGGCCTGGTGCAGTAGGACCAGCTGGCTCTGGGAGGCTCAAGAGAAGACCAGGCTCTCTCGAGCTGTCCCTGCATACCCACCAGCACCCCAAACAGTGGCCCCTAGGCCAGCCCCACTGTGGGAGGCTGAAATCGCCACCCTAGCGCCTCAAGGGGACAGTACTGTTTCCTAGTCTGACAATGGCAAGTCCCACACAGTGGACCATTTCTGAATCCTCCAGGACATCTGGAGGTGACTCCACACTATCTTACTGGGGAACCAAGGTCTCAACCAACACCAGCCCTGAGCAGAGCAGAGCCAGAGAGCTCTATTGCAGATAGAGGCACAACTATCAAAGTTCCTGTCAACTACAGGATGTATAGAAGCACAGAGGAGGGGTTGAGGCAAAAGTCACTAGGGTCATGGGGCAAGGAAGACTATGGTGTTGGGTCCACCTAAAGGGCTACAGAGCTCACCATGACATTTACACTTAATCTGAGTCACTGCCTTGGTGCCTTGTCTCCTCTTCGTCGCTCTGATGTGAACAGCAAGAAGTAAGGAAGACAGCTGTCAGTCCAGCTTGAGCAATGCATGCCTGCAGGAGGACTAACCAGTATATCACCCAGGAGGAAAACCTGGGGGAACCCTAGGTTTGGCTGAATTCTGTTGTCCTTCACCTGTCGCGGACACCTGCCCTCACAGCTCCCAGGCAGGCCAAGGACCTAGCCCTGTCTAAGGAGATTCTGTTGCAGCCCTGGCTCAGAGGACCACAGACCTGGCTCCACGAATGGCCCACTGCATGACAGAGGTGGAGCCTTAGTCAAAGGGGCTGTGACCCATCAGCCAATGACTCATGCCTGTAGAGGGAGTCTGAGTCACACTGGACCCACAGATCCAGAGGGATTCCCATCACAGGTGATACTCTGTCACACAGAGCAAGGACTATACCCAATTACAGAGGACTCTCTTGCTCTTGGCCCCAGAAATCTCCTCTAGTAGCTTCTCTGAGACAAAGGAAGCCCTAAGCCCACCACTCTTGCTGCATTCTGAGTCAGGGCTAGATCTCAGATCAGAGTGGTTAAGGAAGGCTTTGCACTTACAGCTGCCACTAGAAGCAAGGCGTCCACCTAGGGTTTCACTCCTCACACAAGCCACAGTCTCATGGCCAAATAGTCCTTATTCCTACCACTCCCATTTGAAACAGGAAAA